CATGGTCTCGTTTTGTTAATTTTTTATAAATAATTATTGCTATTCTTTTACTTAAATTAGAAATTTGAGAGATGGACATGGAACTATGAGGAGCACACTAACTAGTTTATTATAGGGCAGAAGAGCGAGAGGCGGGAGAAATGGAAGAAGAGAGCAGAGCAGAGAGTAAGAGAGAAGAGAAGGAGAGAGAGGTCGACCACAGGAAACAGAGACGGAGAGAAGAATAATGCTTCGGGTTTATAAGGGAGGGCTCGCTCATGCACAATGAGTGCATGCCCCATAATGAGTGATGTAGCCATGATATGGTCATGCAACACAGGGCCTTTAAGCTGCCTAGGTATCTGCCTGAACCTTTCATTCCCACCTTTACTTATTAAAAAGGTGGGGTGTTAGACATGGCAAGTTAGGGAATAAGGACATTAAGTTCTCAAAACTTATTTCCTGCTGATGTAGGGGTCATTGACCATCCTTGGGGGACCTGAGAAAGGTGGGATGCTGCCACGTCCTGGGTTAGCTGGGGTAGTTGGTTGCTCCATTTCAGTACAGGCTGTATGGAACTCTGGCACCTCTTAGACCTCGCAAGATGTTGGCAGAGCAGAGGACAAAGTTAAGTTTAGGAATTTTTTTTTCCTTAGGTCCTGGTACTTGAGGGGAGGATTGTAAGATGAGGGAGAGGTTCCCGAGGGGTCCCAAGATGAGGGAAGGGAGTCTGGGACCAGGGAAAGGTTGAATATTTATTTGGACTGAATCTGGCCTGTTTGTGTGGATCCAATTCGGCTCCCTGGAACTTACAAGAATCCTTAGAGTTTGTGGAAACATAAGTATTAGACACATTAGTAGCATATTCATGTTAGAAGCGACTTGGCTGAAAGCATTAACATTTTAAAATTGACAGATATTTTTTGGGTCAATGAAAAATTGAGGCATTATGCTGGCCTGCCCCTGTTACCTGGCAGAATCCACTTAGGCAGTACCCCATCAGCCCAGGGTTCCCTGGGAACTAAATCTGCACGCAGGTGTAGAGGACATCTTTAAAAGACAGACTTCTGCCCGGACATCTTTAAAAGACCTTCTCTTCTCTTCTCTTCTCTTCTCTTCTCTTCTCTTCTCTTCCTCCCTTCTCTTCACTAATTCTTCTCTCATACTTTCTGCTCAGCTCTCTTCTTCCATTTCTCTCTCTTTGCCTCTTGCTCATCTGCCATATAATAAACTGGTTAATGTGCTCTCCATAGTTCATCTCTTATCTCCTGTGTCTATTTCTAATTTAAGCAAAAGAATAATAATTATACTTAAGTATTTTTAATTAGTATTAATTATTGTTTAAATTACTATTTAATTAATTACAGTATTATGTAATTATATAATGCACAATTGCAAATATAATTAAATTATAAAATTATTATGATATATACTATATGTATTTGCAAGTCACTGAGTCCATTTAGCATTGCTTATATGTTGAGGTGTCTTAGACTAACCACTGGGAATTGGACATTTTATGCATGAACTCCTCCCTGGAAATAACCAATTCTTCCTTCCTCAGAAGCAATTGACCATTTATAGCTCTTCATTTAAGGATTGGTTCACGTGGACTGTTCCATGTTCATACAGTGATGTTGTCTAGTGTTTATATTGTGTAGGTATTATTTAGGAAGCCATATTGTTGAGTTTTCATGTAATCATATCTCCTGCCATGCCTAGGAAATACTATATAGCAACAGAGGTACTAGACCTCTGGCTCTTACAGTCTTGAGTTTGCCTGGGCCTTAAATAGAGTGGTTGATATTGCAGATGTATCAGTTTAGGTTGAGCACTTTACATTCCCTATTCTCTTCATTTGGATTAGTTGTGGAACTCTGGAATAGTCTCTGTCTGCTTATGTGTTAAAATTATTTTGCTCTTGATCACTTTGGAAATCAGTATGGCGATTCCTCAGGAAAATGGGAATGAGTCTACCACAAGATCCAGCAATTCCACTCTTAGGCATATACCTAAAAGATGCACATTCATACAACAAGGACATCTGTTCAATGATGTTCATCGCAGCATTATGTGTAATAGCCAGAACCTGAAAACAACCTAGATGCCCCTCAACTGATTTTTTTTTTGTATTTACTGAAATTTGATTTGTGCCAGTCTCTGGTCTATTTTGAAGGAAGTTCCACATAGTGCTTAGTAGAATGTGTATTCTTTGGTGTGTGGGTAGAATATTACATAGATATATTAGATCCACTTGATGAAAGATACCATTTAATTCTGAAGAAACCATTTAACTTTTTGTTCAGGCAATCTGTATATTAGGAAAAAGTGGAGCATTTAAATCACCTTCTGTTATTGAGTTGTGGTTAACCTGTGCCTTGAAGTCCAATGGTACACTTTTCATGAAATTGGGTGTGTCAGAGTTTTGTGCATATATGGATTTTGCTTCATTTTGTCTTTTTCTTTTTTTCTTTCCTTCTCTCTCTTTCTTTCATTTTTTTGGAAAGAGGATTTCAAGACAGGTTTCTCTGTGTAGCCCTGGCTGTTATGGAACTTACTCCTTAGACCAGGTTGGCCTTGAACTCACAGAGATCTGCCTGCCTTTGCCTCCCTAGTGCTGGGATAAAAGGCATTTGGCACCACCAACTTGGATTTGTTTCTTAATCCATTCAGCAAATATGCATCTTTTGATTGGAGTATTGAGGTAATTAGTTTATGAAGTTATTGTTCTAAGGTGTATGTTTGCTGATCTCTTATTTTTCTTTTTGTAGTCTTAGTCCTATCTTGTGTCTCAAATTATAGTTTCATTTATTTTCCTTCTGTAGGATCTTGACTATGGTTATTTTTCTCCTCTGTCTGAAGTATTGTTCCATTATTCTCAATAGGGATGATTTGGTGAATCTGAATTCACTTAGACAGTTTTTTTTTTTTTTGAAAAGGAAGTATATTTTATTGCAGTATAAAAGGGCAGGGAGGATAGCAGCTCTCCAGAGACAAAAAACACAAGTGTCTGTCTCTCCCCTGGCAGTGGCTGGACCCAACAAGGATGGTCAGGCTCATTAGTAGGTGGCCCACATGCCCAGAGATGGGCAGGAAGAAGCAATTTAGTTATGCTAAGGAGGGTCACTTTTACCTTCAAAAGGGCAGCAGCCACCACATTGCTCCACCCTCCTGAGCAGCAAGCAGATCACCCTAGAAGCAGCTCTCACCCACTCTAACCAGCCCCACTTACTGGTGGACTGGACCCATTTAGACAGTTTTTATATCACAAGAAGTTTTTCTTTCTCCTTCAAACATGTGTTGATAGTTTTGCTGGGTAGAGTATTCTGGGTTGGCATCTGTGGTCTTTTAAAATTTGGAGTACATTGCTCTAGGCTCTTCTGGCATTTCAAATTTCCCTCAGGGAGTCAGCTGGTATCTGATGGGGTTTTCTTTGTACATGTTGTGGAGTGTTTCTCTTGCATCTTTGAACATCCTTTGTTCTGTATATTTAGAGTTTTTCAACAATGTGCCATTTAGAGTTCCTCTTTTAGTCCTTCCACGCATTCTGTGTGCTTCTTGTGTTTGTATGGGTGTGTCTCTCCTTAATTTAGGGATGATTTCTTCTATAATCGTATTGAAGGTCTGGCCTATACCATTGATCTAGAATTCTTCATCTCTGCTTACAATTCATAGACTTGGTCTTTAAATGACAACACAAATTTCCTGCATACCTCATGTGTGTGTATGTTAATTTATATTTTTTTACCTGTGTGATCCAGTCCTTCTACTTTATATGTAAGTGCTGGTATTCTGTCCTCTACTTGATCAATTTTACTGAGAAGGGTTTTTCCTGATTTTTCTAATTAGATTATTGAATTTTCAATTCCATCCTCTTTTCTCCTTGGGTTTTCTTTTGTTTATTAATTTTATTTGTTTTCTTATCTTACATACCAACCACAATTCCCCGTCCCATTCCTTGTCCCACTCCCACCCCTGCAGTCTTCCCCCAGCTATCTCCCCCATCCATTCCTCAGAAAATGTCAGCTCTCCCATGGGGAGTCAACAAAGCCTGGCACATTAAGTTGAGGCAGGAACAAAAAAAAAGCATGCCCTTACAAAGTATTTGTACATGCACACAGAACATCTCATGTTCTGGAAGCTGCAGAGATTTTTGGACTGCTGAAAAACAAAACAAAACTCGAGGACTTAATTCAGACCCCCCAGTGCTCATGTAAAAAGCTGCATGTGGAAGTATAGGTCTATATCCCAGAGCTACAGGAGAGGTCAGCCAACTGAGGAGCCCAGGGCCAGTCAGATTACCAGGTCTACCTCTTGCATCCAAAGAGGCACATCTGCACACATGCAGGAATACATATTGTGTAACACACATTCATACAAACACACACTAGACAGCAGACAGTTTATTTGTAAGGACAACACCCATCATGAGGAAGTGTGACAGTCTTCATATCGCTTCTGCTATCTGGTATGTGCTTTCTCTGAACACTGCTTTCGAATCCTTTAGTACCTGGAGCTTTTTGATCCTATCAATTTGAATTTGTCTTGGTCTTTCATTTTTCTTGAGAGTGTAGCTACGAAGGTGTATGAAAAGGTATTATAGCTTTGTCTCTTTCCTCTCAACAATTGTCATTATTTTTCTTCCAGAAATTTAAAATGAATCCTGTTTGATAATTGTCCTGCAATTTTCCATATCCCTTAAATATCCTTGATTTGCTATGTCTTTAAATTTTTTTTCTTCCAACTTCCAGTTCGTTAATTTTGCTCTAGTCAGCTGTTCAATGGATGCAGTGTTTCTAGTCTATTTATAGAAGCTCTATTTGGGGATTTTTTAACATTTTTTTACATCTGTTTATTTATTTTTTTAAATGTAGCTACATGTGCTTTCACCAGCTACTCATCATTTTATAGCTTTAATCATTTTACCACACATATTTTAAATTTCTTATGGGTAATTGTTTCATGGGAGACTCGTGTAGATTGGCTCTTTGTATAGTGTTGTAATTATTTTGCATTTCCAGTTCTTTTTCAGCAGGAAGTGGTATGGAGCATCACTGCAGTCCCTTTGAAGACCTGTCTCTGCAGGGAGCTCAGCAGGGCCTTTCATCAGGAACCCCAAGGTGTCTCTGACTGCCATGGAGAGATTTTCTTGGCTTGAGGTAGATACAATTTTGGTGGGCAGGTTAGCATTTTTAGATCTATTTTGTGTCTTCAATGTGAGTTAATTTAACTCCATCTTTCTGCAATTACACAATTGAATTGACAATACTCAAGGGTGTTTCTTTTTTTCTTTTTCTACCCAAATTCCAGACCAAAGGAGGAGCTTTCTTCTTCTTCTTTTTTGTGGCTAACATTTAAATGGGTTTGTTTTATAATCCATTCTCTCCTTGAGCTTGCATCATTTTTAATTTTCCAGTTTTATAAGTGCAGGGACTCATTCTTATTCCAAAGTTGTCATTAAATCCCTATGCTTCAAAGACTTTACTACCTACACCTTCCTTCCCCTACCCCTCTTCCCAGCAAAGCATTCTTTTGGCTGCTTCCTGTGGTGCATTTTAGTTCCAGGCTACTTTTCTCTGCTCCCCAGGAATTTGTTTCATGGGGTTCTTTATGGATTAATATTTTATTTGTCTTGTTTTATCCAGAATATGTGCTTGATTATTTATAGGAAATTCCCAGGTCAATCCAGAATGATTTCCACAGAACATTAATATAAAATACAAATACTTCACTCTTTTGCTTTCCCTATGCTGTGTGACTATTTCCTTCATGTTGAACAGGACTGTCACCATATTGGATGAGATTAGCTATGATCACACACAGTAGACTCTTACAAGGTCAGGGTAGTTGTCATTCCCTCATGGAGAGAAGGAAAAATGACAAAATTCACCAGGTCCATTCCTGAGGCTACATAGGCAATAAAAATATTGCTGGGGAAGGAGAGATTTCAGTGGTATAGTTTCCTGTAAGTTGAACAAGAGACAGAGGTGCAGCTGTTGTGAGCTGTCACCCATGCTGGGTAAGGGTTTTCAGTGATACATATGCTCCATTTAACTGACCCCAGTAATCTTGTTTGTTCACCAACCTAGACTTGGATGGAATCTTTTCTTTGATCTGTCGTTTTTTGTCCATCCACAGTGACTAGATGTATACCACCCAGAAAATGTCTCAGCATACCTGACATTTATAGGTTCTTGAGAACGAGAAGAATTATCCCCCTCAGTACAGCCATGCCACTATGGATGACTGATTCTTATCTTCATATATAACACTGATAGGGAAATGCAGGGTAAGAGAGTAAGTGGAAGGAGCCAGTACTAGGCCTAAAGGTAGAACGATTCAGTGTGTAGTTACAGCTCAACTCATCTATGTACCCTCTTAATCAGTTCTTCACCATATGCCTCTTAAGTGACTGTTTCTTTGTCATTCTACTTTGCTCAGGTTTACTTACCCCCCTTGGTTAATTCCTCTATAATTCTAAGTCCTGATGTTTTCTACTCAAAGCTGAGCACAGAATACTTCCACAGCCTCAATAGACACATCTGGTTGCTAGAATATGCATCATTACCAATTCTTCCACATGCCTACATTATTGCTGTCCATTCTTTCTGCTACACTTTTCTAACTTATATTTTTCTTTATAATTCACCACAACAAAAGTTTTCTGATTTTCCTTCTGCTTTCTTGGTTTTTTTTTTTTTTCTTTCTATGAATTAGCCAGAGCTCTGAATTTCCTGGAAATACCTTTTACATTATCTATCTATCTATCTATCTATCTATCTATCTATCTATCTACCTACTTATCATCTTCTATCCAAAAAAATATATTTTTTTTTTGGCTTTGGGTTAAGAGGAACTTGTAATGTAGGGAAAAGTATCTATTTGGTTTTACATTTTATTTCCTCTCTGTCCCTTTTCAGCCAATCAAGCTGGTATTTAGACTATAGTTCTCCTTCATCAGAATGATTTGTGCTACACATCTGGGCTCAAATACCAATTCATTACTAAAAGTAGTTTTGTCAAGAAGTTTTTTTTTTTTTTTTTTTTTTTTTTTTTTTTTTTTTTTTTTGTAAGTGATTGAAGATAAGATGACATTACAATTGTGCAATATGGCCAGCCTGGGAAATATAAAAGGAAATAGGGCAAAATTGAGCGGCTTAACTCTGGGTGATGATTTCTGTCAGCTAATTAAAACCGTATTTTCATTCATTTCCCTTACTTGGTAAAATAGCTCTCTCATTTTTTAGAAGTTAATAATCAGCTATTGCATGAATTTCATTCACTCTTCACTGCTGGGCTGCTAAATTACAGGCTGGAAATACATCACAGATTTCCAGTGAGGTCTTGCAACTGCTCTTAGAAGCAAGCAATTCCTGGTCTCAGTCCTTGAGCCATGATTGTTCCATCTTTTAGAAACTCATTTTCCTTCATATTTTATGCCCAGTCCCTAGGCAATAACTTAACATCTGATGCTTAGTCATTACTTCAAACTCATCCTCCAAACATTTGCCTTTGGACCCAGACCTCTGTTTTGAGCACACCAATCAAAATGATTTTGTGTGCATGTAAGTTGCTCAAAACCCTTCAGCCATTTCTCATGTCTTAGAATTAAGGCCTCATCCTCCAAAATGTGTAAGATCTTTTGATATCTGGCCCAGTGATTTCCTGCACTCACAACCTTGCTGTGTAGAAACATGTCACCCCCTTTCAGTTTCGCAGACTTGCCTTGGTTTTTCCTGTTGCTGGAAAACTCTCCAGACACCTCTAGGCCCAACTTCCTCACTTTTTTCAAATGTTTTCTCAAATGCACTTTCTCAACAAATTACCCTGGATCTCTTCCTTTCTATTGTCCTTGACTTTGTTCCCTACATAATTCTCACATTTTGAGCTGGTAGATATTTCAATACATTCTTTTTGTGACTGTCTAAAATACTAGGGCCACAGGAGCAAATATTTCCAGTGTTGTTTGCTTGCAGAACTCCAGTTCATCAGAACAAAATACTCACTCAACACAAACAACAGAAACACACAAATGACTGAATGAATCCAGCCACTTACTGCACTCAGGTGTTGGTGGGTGTTTCCCACTGTATTGGGAAGAGCTTTCCACTTGCTCTTTAATCTTACAATCCTGCTCTTCAAGACCCACCTGCACTTCAGAAAGATAATTCTTTAGTTCCTGATATGAGAAGCTGAAATTTTCTCTTTAAATCCAATCTTTACTTTTTGCTTGCACAACTTAGAAAAAGCCATTAAAGAACAAATAAATCATGTCTGGTGGTGGTCCATGCCTTTAATCCCAACACTTGGAAGGTAGAGGGGAGTGGCACTCTGTGAGTTCCAGGCCAGTCTAGTCTACAGATTGAGTTCCAGAACAGCCAGGACTGTTACACAGAGAAACTCTGTATGGAAAAATAAAAATAACAACAAAAAAAGGAAAAAAAAGCCAACCCATGTTTCCTATCTCTTCTTTCCTATGTAATCACAAATCCCAGACAGCAATGATGTGGTTTCATAGGACAGAATGAGTATGATGCTCAGAGTGAGGATTTGTTTTCAAACAAACCCTAGTAATTCACTAATTACTGCTTTTAAGAAGGGGTTTGGACTTCAGGAAAATATCTTCTTGTCAAAACATTCAATAACATGGTATGATAACAGCATGATTTAGCATTCATTACAAACTGTGAAACAAGCTGTAGTTTATTTTAATATGATGGATTATATAGCTTTCAAAATGACTTCATGAATATCATCTTGATTTATTGGTGTTGGAAAGACTCAATATCATAACTCTCTAGTACATTTATTTTTTGTTTGTTTTAAAATATTTATTTCATTTTAAGTTGTGTGTGTGTGTGTGTGTGTGTGCATGCGCATGCATGTGCGTGCGTGTGTGTGTGTGTGTGTGTGTGTGTGTGTGTGTGTGTGTCCACATGTGAGTGTGAGTACCAGCTAGGGCTGTAAGAGAGCATTGGATACCTTGGAGTTACAGGTAACTGTGAGACACATCATGTCTCACATGCTGGGAATTGAACCCAGGTCCTCTAGAACTCTATTATGTTTTCTTAACCCCTAATCCATCTCTCTAGGCCCCTTTAGTACACTTCTAGGTTGAGGGTGCTAATAATAAATTTGTTCAGTTTTTCTTTTGTTTTAAATCTGCAACTATATAGATGTCACTACCAACTGGTAAAACAGCTTCCCCGAGAATGCGATTCTTCACCAACTATCTTGTTTCCTCTGAGCATTTTTTATGTTGCACTCTTCACTGCATTCTCATCTCCTTACTTCTGTTCACTTTTTTCTTTTCTTTTGTTTATTTATTTGGTTTCCCTTGGAAGAGACAAGCCCTTTCTCTCTTGTCACTTTCAAACATTTTTTGTGTCTTAGTTTTCAGCACTTCCTCTTGATGTGTCTTTTCAAGGAATAATTTGGATGCTCAACTACGTCAATTTTATTGAGTTCCCTGGATGTGTAATGTTTTCACCACAGTTTTGAACTTTCAGCTATTGCTTCTTGGAATTTCTTTCCTACTTCTGCTTTTCTTCTCTCAGTGTGGATGCTGATATACCTAAATGTGGTGCATATTTCCTACAGGATATGTTCATTTTTCTTGTTTTCTCTGAAATTTACATATCAGGAGATCAGCTTTTCTTATTTGGTATTCTGCCTCTTTAAATACATTTATTATATTCTTTAGAGATTTTCAAAAATTAGGTATTTTATTCCCTAACTCCAGAATTTCAAGTTTCTCTTAATTTCTAACCTCTTTATTATTCTCTATTTAGTACAAAGTGGCAATCATATCTTTCCATACTACTATAATTTTGTTTTTTATTAATTGAACATATTCATAGTGATTCCTTGAGTTTTTCTTAAATATGACATCTATGTACTGGAAATAGCAGTCTCTGTGACCTTTTATAATAAACCCCATATGTGATTCATCATCATTTCTTCATGACTTTCATGATTTCTGAACAGACAATGAAAATCTCAAATAATATACAGCTGAAATTCCTAGTAGCCCTTAATACTGTTGAGCTTTTGCTAGTGTCTGCTTGTTTATTTGATTAGGGACAGACGAGACTATTTGTTTCATACAGTCCATCTATCCCACTCTTCTGCATCCTCCTTCACAACATCATCTTGTTTG